TTCCTCCTCCAGTCCTTTCTCTTACTTCTCTGTCCCTGTCCCCTTAGTCCTAGAACTTCCTCCCCACTTCCTCTTGTCCCAGCCTCCCCCAGAGTTTCAGAATCCAGTGTGGCGATGCCCGGACCTCACTCTGGGCGAGTTAACTGAATGACACCTGGGAAGAATAACTTCCCACCGCAGGTCTCTTATCTCTTCTTAGGCTCAAGGTCTCCTGCTTCCGCCTTGAGACACCTCACAAAGGCTTCTTTATTACTGTCACCCCCCTGGACTTCAGGCTCCAGGGAAAGAGCTTTTTATGACTGGCTGACAGGTGTTATAAAAGACAGCACAGTGACCCTGATTAATCACTGGTGTCGTGTTGGGTGCAGGTCTCCTCGGCTTTACATCCCAAGTCAGATTTCAGGTGTGAAGCCTGAGCGGTGTCCTTGCTAGTCAGTGTTTAGTCGGTCTTATGCTGCCTAAGTTCTGTGCCAGCAATCCTGTTCTGGGTATGTAAGAACCTGTTCTGGGTATTGTTGAACCCCAAAACAAAGACATGAAATATATCAGAGAGAGCTAACATTTGTCACCATGAAGAGACTGAAATGTAATAGTCAGTCCAAAAGGAAGGCTAAGGGCCAGAGTAGCCGCGCCGCTGCCACCAGCTGCCCCGCGGCCCCCGCACACCAGTCCAGCTGTGCACCAGCTTCCAGCCTCGGGCCGGTTACCAGATCCGCACTCAACTCCTCTACCAGGAAGCCCTCCGTGCATCCCAGAGGGTGGTGGGAGGACACGGAAAACGTGGGAAATACTTGGAGCGCCTGGGAGCTTGAGGGAAAAGGATGTGCAAGTTCAGGAGACGGAGGGGCAGCAGAGACACCTGGGAGTGGGGAGGAAGGCTCTGTGTTACAGAACTCGGGCCTCTCACTGCAGAGAATGACAGACAGTCCCTAAAGGACCTGGCAAGTTTCAGTTGAGGAGTAACCTCTGAAGGGAGAGGACAGACAAGCCGGGGGCAGGCTGCTGAGTGTGTGCCGGGCCCGTCGGGGAGGACCCTTCTCACAGGCCCGGGAGCAGCTCTGCTGGCCGGGGCCTGGGCTAGAAGAGCAAGTTCAGCTACATTTTGTTCCCCCTCCTAGGTATGTTTTATATGTAAACGTGCCTCTTTTTTTCCTATTGTCAGATGCTGAGACCAATTCTGATAAGTTCCGGTCTCCATTCCCTTCCCCCCAGCAAACACATGTGCACACCATGGGGACCTCTCTCCCCGTCCCTGTTTCTCTATCCCCCAAGTATACTGGCCAGGGAACCCATTTCTTCACCGTCTCAGTGTCCAGGTTAGTGTTTCTCACTCCCGCTGCTTCCTGTGGGAGCATCTCCCCTGCTCAGATGATCGTCCGCCCTGTTCCCGAGTCATCGTCACGTCTGATTCCACTTCTGATGCTGGATGCAGAGTCTCTTCCCGGGCGTGTGTGAGTGGCACGTGGGCAGCGTTCTCCTGCGGTCTGAGAAGTGGAGGTGGCCGGAGGACACGGCCGACCCTGACATAGAACCAGCGGGGCCAGGTGACAGCACTCTACAGTGACTGTCCCCCAGTTTTGTCAGATATGATCCCCCTTGACTGTGCTCAAGCAGCACGGAAGGGGGGCTCAGAAAACTGTCACTGGGCCACCTGTGTTCCTGTCATGCTGACGGGAGGGGAAGGGCCTGGGTCACTACTGCAGCTTGTTTTTCCATCTTATTTTCAGTCTAAATGACAATATGGCATCTCATAGATATTCCACAATGTCAACCTTATTTGTCATATTTGGCTCAATTCCTGGATTTAGCTACAGACTCTACCTGGGCAGGTAATGAACTCGCCGCTAAAGGCCACCTGTGCTGCCTCTGGAAAAAAGAGGCACCCCTCAGATTTGAAAGGTTGCTATGTGAATCCAGATGGAAATTCATTTGGGTGTCTCATCACATGTAATCATTTTTTCCCCCGATAACTGGAATGATTCCTTTCCTGGGGTGGCTTCTTATCATTTTCATTAGATCATCTTCTCGGTGCTGAAATGGCCATTTTTTATTTGTATTGGCTCTAAGAGCAAAGCGGTCGCTGGTGTTACATTTTTATTGGACTGGCTCCATCTTTGCCAAATTTCACAACTTGCCCGTCGCCAGGAAAGAAGGATCGTGAGCTTGTCGTTACAGGCAGATGTTATAATTAAGTTCAAGTTAACAGTCGTGTGCATCGCCCGCGACACTCAGCCCTGTTCGTGCAGTGGGTGTCTACTAATTCACACGTAATCACTGACACATTTTTTGGTTGTGTATAATCTGTTCTTACTAAAGCACATAATTGCATAGGCCTGATTTTAAAAAGAGAGGAGAGCTAAATTACAAGGGGAAGATCAGCTTATACCCAGAACTGATTTTTGTCATAACTGAATGAAAAGCAACTGTCCTTGGGAAGCAGAGAAAGTTACTGAAGTATAAAATAAATGAAACCTTGAAGTTGTTAAAATCTAGCTTACAATGATACGAGTGATGTATGTTTGGACATTAGCACGGAGATGAAGAGCGCAGGCACTAGCTTGAGTCACACCCTTGACAGAGTCACTTCCTAGCTGCGTTACCATTCCCTTAGGTAAATTTCTTACCCTCTGTCTGTCTCAGTTGCCTCATTCGTTAAAATGGGAGTAACAGACCTACCCTGTAGGGGTTCCTAAGGGTTTGATGGCACAGTGCGTATATGATGAGTGCCGGCTGGGTGGTAATAAGCATTTAGTAAATGAGGCCTATCAGCATTATCATTGTTATTCCTGAAGAATTTCTAAAGTCTCAGTGAAAGAACTACCGTAGTTCAGCTGTGTGCTCAAATTCACTCAAACCAATCGGAAGAGAATGTGTTCTAAATATAAAAATATAACACGTTTGTTATTTTTTTACATATATAATTTTAGAAGACTCAAACAAAATTTTAAATACCCATGAGCTTTTTCATCCTGAGAGAAACATCGTTAACATTTTAGTGTGTCCTGTATTTTGTCCATCAACCCGCTTACAAGATTCTGATCTTACCACTTATCCCATCGCGTGACTGGAATGTTTTACGTTGTTAAATATTCATCGACCACGTCATTTTTAGTGATTCCTACTCTCCTCCAAACAAAACTGCTCTTGACTACCCTGTCTCGGTGTTTCCTCTTTGTGGTGGATTTAGCAGGTGAGGGGCAGTGGGCCTTCCCCTCCGGCCAGCATAGCCATCTGAGGACAAGGCGTTTGGGTGAGTGATGGGCAGGTCTCTGAACATCTCCAGCCACCTCTTAACTTCGTGCTTAAAGCAACAGCAGTTACAA